GGAATGCCGGCGCGCAAAACGCGCTACAAGTACTTTACACGTAGCATGTTGTTAAAGTGCTAGATAAAATTGAACGGTCTGTTATCAGTAAGTGTTACTCCACTTATAGCGCAGTTAGAGAACAAAAAAAAAAGAGAAATAATTATTAGGTAGTCAATGCACATTTATCATCGACATACTTCCGATATGAGTGAGTCGTTGGACACAATAACTGTCACACACTCGCAACAAAGCGATCCTTTTTTCCCCCTTTCAATTATTTATCGTTTCACGCGCGCATTATATATTTCACAACAGTTTCATAAAATATATCGATAACAGTTACAATCAGAAGAGAAAATTTTTTCTTTAGAAAGCTCTTGATATATCACAAAAATATATCATAAATTTATTTAATATATCACAAATTTATTGAAATGATGTAACCTGTACAATCATCATCTTAAAATAGCTCTCTAATTAAGAACGACTTATTATATTGCGTTGATCTTGATAATTGTATCGTGTATCGATGATGTAACCCACAAGTTCACGTTGCGGAAATTGTAAACCGGTGGCACTAGACGGACATGTAAATTTATCATCGCGACGATTCCAAAGTTGTGTTTGTGTGAGAAATTCGCTGTCGATATCTGAAATTCTTCATTTTATTTTTAACACTCCCCGTTCCATCTTATCGTATTTTCCATAATTTCCATATCGTGTACGTTTGAAATATCCTCTGTGTAAATGATCGGGAACGATATTGACATTGACCATTACCTAAATTAATCCGATGCGCGTTGATGTCGACACGTCTCCGGACACGAGCTGCGAAAATGGCGACGATACAGCCCGTCGTTTAATTCGGGCTTTGAAAAAATGTCGCGCCATAAATACAAGCGTCTTTTTTTTTCTTTTTTAAACCGCGCGGCGGTTGCATTAAATTTAGAATGACGGTGAAATTCATATCGCTAATCCGTGTCGGTCAATTTAATTGAAATAACGACCTCTCGCGCTCGTCCCGTTCTCACTCGTCATCCTCTTTGACTCTGCCGCGTTATTTTTGTCGCGCGATTTTCATCGTCGCTGATGTATCGAGGAACCGAAATGCCGCGGTTAAGCCTACAATTTGTTACTCCACCAACAGCACACAAAGTGTCACAACACATCGCTAAACTTGAACTTACGATGAGGAGATCGTACGGCGTTCCTAGTCGTGGGCGGATAACTTATATTATATACGTATTCGAACGATTGTGTCTCAATTTATTTTCTTTTTTTTCACTGAAAGAAGTCACGTCTGAAATAAAATAACGAAGACATGCGTCACTGTACACTGTCGAGTCGTTCTGACACGCGATCGCTTACGCTAGTTACGACGATCGCGAAATTAGACGCGGTATAATGCACGGTTGACAAAGGTGCAACAAATGGACTCGACCGAAGATGAATCGAAGATTCGCGCTTGGAATTCACCGTGCTCTTTGGCTGAGATTACATTAGCGATAAAAGTTTGCACCGATTGGTCATTGAATAGAGAATTCCTAGAATCCAGATTCTAGAAACTCTCCGATCAATCAGTACATCTGGCAGACATTTTATCATATGAATGTTAAATATCAAACTCTTGACGCAATACAAGAGAGATGTCTCAGAAATCTATAAAATATATAATATATATAAAATATTCAATATAGAATATAAATTTGCGGATTAGATTGAATCATATTGTATATTCTAGGGTTAATATTGTACACTTGTGTATCAGTGGATTTTATCGAGTCTTAAATAACCCGTTACAATATTTCCTGTTATCGCTGCTCGTCGAATCATCGATACGGATGAACGCAATACGGCAAAATCGTGCATGATACACTGATATGTCAGTTTAATCGTAATAATTGATGGCTATCGTGTAGCCAGCGTGACGAGAATGCTACGTAAATGACTTACATAACTAAATTATATCTTGCGCATCTCTCAGCACACATTGTATACGTGATACGATCAGAGTGCCATATGTATTTATCTGTTTTGTGTGGTCCGTTCCTACTCGAATCTACTTTGCAATCAATTATGTATCTTAAAGAGTCGTGTATCTTAAAAAATCATGTATTTCTTCTTTTCTCTATGAAAATATCATAAGATACACGATTACGATGCTATATTATAATAGCGGATAATGTCGCAAGCTGTTACAATATTATTTCAAATAAAAAAAAAAACTAAATTAATTAAAAGATATGAGAAATGAGAGGAAAATATCTGGTTGGCGACATAAAAGAAAAGGCATTTCGGAGCCCGAAACGTTCGATAACGGAAGAGATGAGAGAAATGGGGCTCCCCATTGACGACGACCACGTAAAAAT